TGAGCGGTCGGGTTAGAACGGATAAAAGGAAGTCCTTCTTCACCCAAAGAGTGATTCACACACGGAATTCACTGCCACAGGAGGGCGTGGCGGCTACAAGCATGGACGGCTTTAAGAGGGAACTGGATAAACATGGAGCAGAGGTTCATCAGTGGCTATTAGCCACAAGGTATAGATAGGTACTCACAGGCTGGGGCAGTTGATGCTCTCTATTCTTGGTGCTTGGGGGGGCAACAGTGGGAGGGTTCCTAGTGTCCTGCCCCCACTGCTGGACCTCCTGATAGCACCTGGTATTTTTGGCCACTGTGTGACAGAGTATTGGACTGGATGGCCCATTGGCCTGATCCAACTTTGGCTTCTCTTATGTTCTTCTATGGAGTAGAGGTCCATCAGTCGCTATTAGCCACAAGATATAGATAGGAACTCACAGGCTGGGGCAGGTGATGCTCTGTATTCTTGGTGCTTGGGGGGGGCAACAGTGGGAGGGCTTCTAGTGTCACTGCTGGACCTCCTGATGGCACGTGGTATTTTTGGCCACTGTGTGACAGTGTTGGACTAGATGGGCCATTGGCCTGATCCAACATTGGCTTCTCTTATGTTCTTCTATGGAGCAGAGGTTCATCAGCGGCTATTAGCCACAAGGTATAGATAGGAACTCTGGATCAAGTGATGCTCTGTCTTGGTGCTTGGGGGGGGGCACAAAGTGTTGGACTGGATGGGCCATTGGCCTGATCCAAGATTGCCTTCTCTTATGTTCTTATGTGTTGGCACCCCAATTATGAAAGACTCTTCAAGCATATTATTCGGGCAAAAAATGTCCTTTTCCTCCAAATGTTTGGTGGATCGAATTATCAAATACTTTGTGGACTTTGCTTCTTGTTAATGCTTGTGGCTCTGTTTAATTTCAACCCATTGGTTCTGGTCTGACCTTCTGGGGCAACAGGAAACAACTCCAGACCATCCTTGCGGATGGTGGTCCTATCCCCTCTCAGTCGTCTCCTCTCCAGGCTGAACACACCCAGCTCCTTCAGCCTCTCCTCAGAGGACTTGGTCTCCAGACCTCTCACCATCTTTGTTGCCCTCCTCCGGACATGTCCCAGCTTGTCTATATCCTTCTTAAACTGTGGTGCCCAAAACTGAACACAATAAGCAGACCAGAGTAAAGCGTACACCATCATAAGAACATAAGAGAGACGCCAATGTTGGATCAGGCCAAAGGCCCATCCAGTCCAACACTCTGTGTCACACCATCACTTCATGTTGTCTTCTTGGAACATAGTTCCTAAGTATGTACTGGGCTGCGGGGAGAGGTTACGTAAACCTTCCCTGGTGCATCGTTTCTGCAACCTGAAATGTCCCCCAGGCAATTGCTTTGTCTATCCCGGGGCAGTTTCAGGTCAGGAAGAGAGCAGAAGGCCTTGAGAGCCAGTTTGGTGTTGTGGTTAAGTGCGCAGACTCTAATCTGGGAGAACCGGGTTTGATTCCCCACTCCTCCACTTGCACCCGGCTGGATGACCTTGGGCAAGACGTGGTTCTGATAAGAGCTGTTCTTGAAAAAGAGCAGTCTCTGCGAAGAGCTCTCTCAGCCCCACCTGCCTCACAGGGTGTCTGTGGTGGGGAAGGGAAAGGAGTTTGTAAGCCGCTCTGAGACACCTTTGGGGAGTGAAGGGCGGGATATAAATCCAATCTCTTCTTCTTCTTCAAGTGCCGTCAAGTTGCTTCCAACTTATGGGGACCTTAAAAATTAATGACCTCCGAAACCTCCTGTTGTTGACAGTCTTGCTCAGGTCTTGCAAATGGAGGGCCTTTGCGGCTTCCTCGACAAAGTCAATCCGTCTCATGTCGGGTCTTCCTCTTTTCCCGCTGCCTTCCAGTCTGGTGTAGTGCTTAGGAGCGCGGACTCCGATCTGGGAGAGCCGGGTTTGATTCCCCACTCCTCCACTTGCAGCTGCTGGATGACCTTGGGCAAGCCGTAGTTCTGATAAGAGCTGTTCTTTTTTTAAAAAAAAAAAAAGAGCAGTTTTCTGTCAGAGGTCTCTCAGCCCCGCCTACCTCACAGGGCGTCTGTTGTGGGGAGGGGAAGGGAAAGGAGTTTGTAAGCCGCCCTGAGACCCCTTTGGGTAGTGAAGGGCGAGGTATAAATCTAATCTCCTCCTCTTCTTCTTTTACCTCACAGGGTGTCTGTTGTGGGGAGGGAAAGGGAAAGGAGTTTGTAAGCCGCTCTGAGACTCCTTTGGGTAGTGAAGAGCGAGGTATAAATCTAATCTCCTCCTCCTCTTCTTTTACCTCACAGGGTGTCTGTTGTGGGGAGGGGAAGGGAAAGGAGTTTGTAAGCCACTCTGAGACTCCTTTGGGGAGTGAAGGGCGGGGTATAAATCCAATCTCTTCTTCTTCTTCTTTTACTTCACATGGTGTCTGTTGTGGGGAGGGGAAGGGAAAGGAGTTTGTAAGCCACTCTGAGACTCCTTTGGGGAGTGAAGGGCGGGGTATAAATCCAATATCTTCTCCTTCTTCTTTTACCTCACAGGGTGTCTGTTGTGGGGAGGGGAAGGGAAAGGAGTCTGTAAGCCACTCTGAGACACCTTTGGGGAGTGAAGGGCGGGGTATAAATCCAATCTCTTCTTCTTCTTTTACCTCGCAGGGTGCCTGTTGTGGGGAGGGGAAGGGAAAGGAGTTTGTGAGCTGCTCTGAGACACCTTCGGGTAGTGAAGGGCGGGGTATAAATCCGATCTCTTCTTCTCTTCTTCTTTCAGTGGACTCAATGGGCAGGACTAAATAGGACTTTAAGTAGACTGTATATAAAACATACATTTGCATCATTTAGGCCAAGTTACATTCAGGAAGAATTCTTGGGAGGAAACTGGGAGAGTAAGCCTTGAGGAAGAGACACTTGCCTCTTGACTTTTTCCCAGCAACAGTTGTGGCACACCGATTCAGTGTGGCATCACCGGGTTCTTTTGGACTCAGGTCTGTCGTGGTGACGTGCCGCTGGGCCTGACGGTGAACCTTGGGAAAACCACACACAAGGTGTCTGCTAACCCAGCTTGCCTGCCCCGTGCACCGTAAGTCTCAACTATCTTTGATCTAAAAGAATCCAGTTTTGCGAGGCTTTCTTCTCCTGGCCCTGGAGGTGATTCATTCACACTTTACCACAACTGACTGTCCAGGCGTGTGGCTTCTTACATACCTGTCTCACGATGCAGTCATGTAAGGTGCCGCCAGACAGAGTAAGCCAACGGACGCTTCTACTCCGACTCCCCTTCCGGAGAAAATAATTAGTTGTGTACGAACGTCATGCTTTGCCACAAGGGAAGATTCCGTGGAGGGAGGCCGCAGCCTCCTTTGACCAGTGCCACCAAAGCACGCTATCTTGCTTCCTCTTCTGTGGGTGACGGTGAGTTCAGAGTGCTGAATGTAGAAGAGAAGAAGAGGAGATTGGATTCATATCCCGCCCTTCAGTACCCAGAGGAGTCTCAGAGCGGCTGACAAACGCCTTTCCCTTCCCCTCCCCACAACAGACACCCTGTGAGGTAGGCGGGGCTGAGAGAGCTCTGACAGAAACTGCTCTTTTCCGAGAACAGCTCTGACAGAACTACAGCTTGCCCAAGGTCATCCAGCAGGTGCAAGTGGAGGAGTGGGGAATCAAACCCAGTTCTCCCAGATTAGAGTCCGCGCATTTAACCATGACACCGAAGAAGAAGATATTAGACTTATACCCCGCCTTTCACTACCTGAAGGAGTCCCAGAGCGGCTTACAAACTCCTTTCGCTTCCCCTCCCCACAACAGACACCCTGGGAGACAGGTGGGGCTGAGAGAGCTCTGACAGAAACAGCTCTTTTCCAAGAACAGCTCTGACAGAACTATGGCTTGCCCAAGGTCATCCAGCCAGGTGCAAGCGGAGGAGTGGGGAATCAAACCCGGTTCTCCCAGATTAGAGTCCGCGCACTTAACCACGACACCGAAGAAGAAGATATTAGACTTCTACCCCGCCCTTCACAACCTGAAGGAGTCTCAGAGCGGCTGACAAACTCCTTTCCCTTCCCCTCTCCTGGGAGGTAGGTGGGTCTGAGAGAGCTCTGAGAGAACTGCTGTTTCAAGGACAGCTCTTATCAGAACTATGGCTTGCCCAAGGTCATCCAGCCAGGTGCAAGTGGAGGAGTGGGGAATCAAACCTGGTTCTCCCAGATTAGAGTCCGCACACTTAACCACGGCACCAAACTGGCTCTGTAGGCTTAGAGAGAACACTCAATCCGGTATCTGTTTGTTTGCAAGTGTCGAGGCGGAGGACGAACAGTGAGTGGAGGTGCACTAATCAGTGTGGTGTAGTGGTTAAGTGTAAAAGTTGAGCCCAGAGGCACCTGTTATGTCCAAGAAAGCTTTATTCTGGGTGTAAGCTTTCGTGTGTATGCAGTCTTCTTCCGAGTGTCATACTATCTATGAAACTCAGGTTTGGATCCCTACTCGTGCCATGGAAGCTCAGTAGTAGACCTTGGGCCAGCCACACTCTCTCAGCCTCACCTACCTCGCAGGGTGGTTGTGTGGATAGAATGGGGGAAAGGAGGACAATGTAAGCCGCTTTGGGTCCTCATTGCAGAGAAATGAGTACAAATTGAATAGAAAAGAGCAAGAGTCCAGTAGCACCTTAAAGACGAGCCAGATTGGTGGCAGGGGATGAGCTTTCCTGAGTCACTGTTCACTTCCTCAGATACAGCGACTCGTGAAAGCTACCTTGCCGCAACTGTTGTTAGTCTTTAAGGTGCTCCTGGACTCTTGCTCCTTTCTACACTGCTACTCATCTTTATCTGTCTCTGGAAGGCGCCACAGTTAGCCATACGGAATGGGAATCCTTCAACCTTGTGATATAAGGACAGATGGACTCCCATTCTAGCTGTACCTGAAGAAGTGAGCAGGGACTCAGGAAAGCTCCTCCCCTGCCACAAATGTTGTTAGTCTTGAAGATGCTCCTGGACTCTTGCTCTTTTCTCCTGCTGCAGACAGACTCACACAGCTCCCCATCTTGGTCTATCTCCACTGAATGCATCAGATTTAGCCGTGCAGAATGGGAATCCATCAACCTTGTGATACAAGGACTGATGGGCTCTCATTCTAGCTGTATCTGAGGAAGTGAGCCGTGACTCACAAAAGCTCCTCCCCTGCCACAGATTTGGTTAGTTTTTCAGGTGCTCCTGGACTCTTGCTCTTTTCTCCTCCTGCATGCAGACTAACAGCGCTGCCCATCTTGATCTACAAGTTAAATAAACAAACCTGTATTGTTCTGACTTGCCAGCGGGGGTCTCATCCAGTGTTCCCTCTAAGCTGAGTTAAGTGTGAGGTAGCTCACTGTTTTTTTAGCCTCCGGCTCACACATTTCTGTTTTAGCTCCAGAAGGGAGGGCTCCAGAGCAAACTGATTTCTGCAGCCGCCAAATCGCTCGCTCACAACTTTAATGCCGGCAGCTCACAAACTAGAATTTTTGCTCACAGGACTCTGCAGTTTAGCGGGAGCGTTGCTCCCATCCTGCCTGTCTAAAGGTCAAAATCAGTGCGTTCCCTAGTGCTTTCCCATTGTCAGGACATGGTGCGCGTGGTGTGACTCATGAGCGTTTTGTTTAAAGGATTCCTTTGTGAGTCTTCTTCGGCAACCCTTCCGAGGCCCCGCCATGCTCGGCGCATGAAAGCTGAGGGCTTTATGGGCCCTGTCCCTCATACCTGCCTCTTGTCGAACTCATGTGAGTTACGCCATCGCTTCACCTCTGCACTTAAGGAGCCAGTGAGCTGGCCGAGGGCGTTCCCCGGGCGATGCTGGAAAATGCCTATCATTTGGGGAGAGTTCATTCCTTATTTAGAACCAGCACACCGTTCCCTTTGTAGCGTCACGTCCACGTGCGTCCTGCGTTTGAAAAACAAACATGCCCCGCGTCATCTTGAAATGCAAACATGCCCCGCGTCATCTTGAAATGGGCCCAGCCTTTCGTAGTGTAAAGAAACCAGAAACTGTAGGGCGTGTGGAAATGTTTTTAAAGCTTGAAAAGGACAGAACAGCAAATCCCAAGATTGGGCGGTCTTTGGCCGGCAAGCCGCGCGCGTTGAGACGATTTCCCCCTGTGTCAGCGATTAAAGTCCGGCGTTCCTTCAGACAACTTTGTCACGGGTTCCTCTGAAAGGGTTCTTTGATTCCGCAGAGTAACTTGCCCGGGCAAGTGTCTGGCAGGAGCGGGTGTGTCCTTCGGAGCCGCTGTTAGAAATTTTCATTAGAGATGCGCGGGGAGGTAACGAAACCTCTCAGAGCGTTGATCTCAATCGGCAAGCGCGCTTTGTTGTTCTGCCGTGAAACGCACGATGTTGTGGATGTCGCTGGAGGCTAGCGTTCTCATGCCTCTGACGCCTGAGTTTTCCGGAGACTAAGGGCTGCTCGTGTGTAATGTCTTTTCTGGCATGTCAGCTGGAGGCTTTCCCGTGTGGAGGGGAACTGTAGTACACGCTGACTTCTGGGCAGTCTGCGCACTTCCCAGTTCCGAAGGCTTAAAAGTGTTTGGGTAGATGTTCTGCTGGCTCTTGTGTTTTGCGCATGGTTTTTGTGTGTGGCTCAAGTGGTTAAGACGCTGAACTGCAGGCTGTGGAAGGTCGGTAGTTCAGCAGTTCAAGACCCGGGTGCCGCAAGACGGGGTGAGCTCCCGTCTCTAGTTCCAGCTCCTGCCAACCTAGCAGTTCGAAAGCAAGAAATTGCAAGTAGATAAATAGGTACCACTTCGGTGGGAAGGTAACAGCGTTCCGTGCGCCTTGGCGTTTAGTCATGCCGGCCACATGACCACGGAAACGTCTTCGGACAGCGCTGGCTCTTCGGCTTTGAAACGGAGATGAGCACCGCAACCCTAGAGTCGGATTCGACTGGCTTTCGAGCAAGGGAACCTTTACCTTTACCTTTGTGTGTGTGTGTGGGAATAGATGCGAAGGCACTGGAATTTGGGCGCAGGACAGCGGGTCGGCTAAGCGAATGCTCTCCCGGACTGGGTTTTGTGTTTTACCTCTCCTCTCTCGCTCTCTCCCCCTCTGCAGACTTCGTATTCCGAGCGCCCATCACGCTAAGCAAACCTGGCGAGCTCCACGAGGAATACCGAAGCCAGCTGCGGAAGGTAGGCCGTTGCGTCTGGTATGAAATCGGCGGCACTCTTAATGTTTAAGGCCGTTGCTAGCGGCAACTAGTATGTGTCAGCCGGCAAGCATCCGGCTCCACGCGGAAGACAGTGTGCCGTCAGTGTTCTCCACATCACCGCACTGAGTAACACGCCGGAGAACCAGCGGGGTGCACGTGTCTCATGACTTAAAAACGAGAACCAGAACCTAAAAAGGTTCTGGGTCTCATTATTAAGACCGGGAACAAAAAGAGGGGGGGGACGACACGACGACTTAACCCTGAAACCTGGGAACCAGAGCCTAAAACGGTTAGTCAAACAGAAGAGAGGGCCAGCAATAAAAACCTATAATGTTTATAATATAAAAAGATGCATGTATTTATTAGCAAAGAATTAAAGAACATATAAGGGCCCAATCACACCTCGTGTAAATATGCCAAAATCTTACACACGAGGGCCAGTGGACTTGACCTGACGTGTTTCGGCCTGTATAGGTCTTCTTCAGAGGTCAAACAGAGAAGAAGAAGAAGACGAAAAAGAAGAAAAAAGATTGGATTTATACCCCGCCCTTAACTACCCAAAGGAGTCTCAGAGCAGCTTACAGTCTCCTTTTCCCTTCCCCTCCCCACAACAGACACCCTGTGAGCAATGCTCCCTCTAAGCTGTGGAGTCTTGTGAGCAAAAATTCTGCTTTGTGAGCTACTGGCATGAAAGTCCCGAGCAAGCGATTTGGCTACTGCAGGCACTAGTTTGCTTTGGAGCCCTCCTTCCTGAGCGAAGACAAAATGTGAGCTGGCGGCTCAAAAACTGTGAGCTAGCTCACACAAACTCCTTCCCCTTCCCCTCCCCACAACAGACACCCCGTGAGGTCGATGGGGCTGAGAGAGCTCTTGACAGAAACAGCTTTTTTTTTCAAGAACAGCTCTCGTCAGAAATACGGCTTGCCCAAGGTCATCCAGCCAGGTGTAAGTGGAGGAGTGGGGAATCAAACCTGGTCCTCCCAGATTAGAGCCCGCGCACTTAACCATGACACCAAACTGGTTCTGTTGCCTAGTGGTTTCACCTTGGAACAATTCCCCCCCCCCAGTCCATCTTGTATCCATGTGGCATAATCGTATGATTGTATTGTATTATGATATAAGCCAATTTGTTCTTCTTTGCGTTTGACCTCTGAAGAAGACCTATACAGGCCGAGATGCGTCAGGTCAAGTCCACTGGCCCTTGTGTGGAAGATCCTGGCATTTTTACATGAGGTGTGATTGCGCCTTTATTTTTTTTTTAATTCTTTGCTGATAAATACATGTATGTTTTTATCTTATAAACATTAAGTTTTTATTGTTGGCCCTATATTATAAACATTACGTTTTTATTGTTCGACTTAATTTTTGAGGTTCTGGTTCTCATTTTTAAGACTCCCTTTTTCTACCTTCGGTATCCGGGCCTTCTCCGAATCGCGTTTTCGTTCTCCATTTACAAGTCAGAAAGGAACGCGGAACTCCCGACTCCTAAGCATCGAGGCCTTTATAAAGGTGATGGGGGAGGTATAGCAGAATTCGTAACGGTGTTTAAATTGTCGAGCCTCTCCTATCTAGAGGGGCACGAAGCACATATTCTCCTCCCTTGTCTTAAAGTGGCTAATTAGGATGGAAAGAGAGCTTCCCACAGAAAGGAGAGCTTTTTCTCCTACAGACCCATTGTCTGTGGACTGGATCTGAACTGGTAAGAGAAAGCGGAGCGCTTACATAAGGCACCGTGCGGCATTTTCCTAACTTATTGGAAAGGATGATAGCCTAGAGCTTTAGGGAAACTGGGATTTAACATGTAAAATGTTACAGAAACCAAGAGCCAGTTTGGTGTAGTAGTTAAGCGCGCGGACTCTAATCTGGGAGAACCGGGTTTGATTCCCCACTCCTCCACTTGCAGCTGCTGGATGACCTTGGTCAAGCCATAGTTCTGACAAGAGCTGTCCTTGAAAAAGAGCCGTTTCTGTCAGAGCTCTCTCAGCCCCACCGACCTCACAGGGTATCTGTTGTGGGGAGGGGAAGGGAAAGGAGTTTGTAAGCCGCTCTGAGACTCCTTCGGGTAGTGAAGGGTGGGGTATAAATCCAATCTCCTCCTCCTCTTTTTTTTTTTCCGACCAGTGGTCTGAATTCAGTACAGGGTAGCTTCGCGTATGATGCCAGTAAGCCTTTACAAAAGAAGGTTTAGAAATGAATCCCTGTGTGTTTTCCCCTCTTTGCACTGCAGCAGGAGGTTTGCGATGCCGTAGTTTCCTAAGATGACTTTTGATTCTTTCCGTTGCATCAAATATGCGGGTAAATGCTTAAGGTTCCTGGAACTCTCAACCGTGCCACGTGTACGGTCTGGAGAGGGTTTTTTTCTTTTGGTCCACTTCCTGTTTGGCCCGCTGGCCGGGCTCTCTTCCTCTTTAAACTTCGCTGGCAGATCCAAGATACGCATTCCCTCCTTCCCAGTGTGTACACACCCTTTCCGAACGACTTCTGGCGTTGGGGGGGATGGAGCAGAGCTTGGGGAAACTCCTAAAATTCACTCCAAAAAGAACAGATTTTCAGTCTCTAAATTCTTCTGTGGGTCACTGCCAGGCCGTGTGGTTAAGTGTTAAAAAGCTGCTGCTAAAATAATTACTTACAGCTGACTCATGCAAAGGTTCCAGAAATGGCAGATAAATTGTGCGGTTGCTTCACTACTAATAACAGCAGGGGCTGTGGCTTAGTAGTAGAGCATCTTGATGTCTTGCTGGTTCACCATCCTGCAATTAAAGGATAAGAACATAAGAGAAGAAGAAGAGAAGAGATTGGATTTCTACCCCGCCCTTCACTACCCAAAGGGGTCTCAGAGCGGCTTACAAACTCCTTTCCCTTCCCCTCCCCACAACAGACAGCCTGTGAGGTGGGTGGGGCTGAGAGAGCCCTGACACAAACTGCTCTTTTTCAAGAACAGCTGTGCCAGAGCTTGTGACTGACCCAAGATCACATCAGCAGGTGCAAGTGGAGGAGTGGGGGAATCAAACCCAGTTCTCCCAGATTCGAGTCCGCACACTTAACCACTGCACCAAACTGGCCAATGTTGTATTAGGCGAGTGGCCCATCCAGTCCAACACTCTGTCACACGGTGGCCAAAAAATACCAGGTGCCCTCAGGAGGTCCAGCAGTGGGGCCAGGACACTAAAAGCCCCTCCCACTGTTGCCCCCCCCCCAAGCACCAAGAAGACACAGCATCCCTTGCCCCCGACATAAGCACATAAGAGAAAAGCCATGTTGGATCAGGCCAAAGGCCCATCCAGCCCAACACTCCGTGTCACACAGTGGCCAAAAACACCAGGGGCCATCAGGAGGTCCACCAGCAGGGCCAGAACTCCAGAAGCCCTCCCACTCTCCCCACCCCCCCCCACCTGCCTCAAATCTCCAGGATCTGGAAAGAGCTCTCAGCTTGAGAGCTGCTGCCACTCTGAGTCGGTGTTCCTAAGCTAAATTGTCCAGACATCTTACTTGCGATAAGACAGCTTCCTATGTTGGCTATCATGGCTCGTGTTGCTAATAGTATTCAGAGGGTCAGTATGGTGTAGTGGTTAGAGTTCCCTAACCTGGATTGCTCAGGGTAGCCCGATCCTGTCAGATCTCGGAAGCTAAGCAGTGTCGGCCCGGGCCAGTATTTGGAAGGGCGGCCTCCAAGGAATACCAGGGCTGCGATCAATGCTCCCTTTAAGTTGTGGAGTCTTGTGAGCAAAAATCCTACTTTGTGAGCTACTGGCATTCAAGTTGTGAGCGAGCGATTTGACTGCTGCATAAATTAGTTTGTGCTGGAGCCCTCCTTCCTAAGAAATGTGTGAGTCGGAGGTTAAAAAGCTGTGAGCCAGCTCACACTAGCTCAGCTTAGAGGGAACACTGGCTGCAGTGCAGAGGCAGGCAATGGCGAAACCACCTCTGAAACATCTCTTGCCTTAAAAAACAAGTCTAGCTCGCCACCTAGTGGTGTGTAACGCTAAAAGCGCTAGAACTCCTGGCTGCCAGGCCATCTTAGGATCTCCTGTCTATTCTACACACAATCCCATACGATAATTATTATTAATCACCTAGTTCAACCGTACAGCTAATGCTACAGAAAGTAATCCTAGTTGAGTCACACAGTGGTTTGACGACTTGTCCTCTTTCCGTATTAGGATTGTGCAAGAAACCATTCAGGAAAATACTGGGCTGGGGGGGGGGGTATGTAGCTTTCTCAGTCACCTTGTACACTGATTGACAGCTGGCCAGCACTGTGTTGCGATCACGGGAGGTGGTAGTTCCGCTCTATTCTGCTATGGTCAGGCCTCACCTGGAGTCCTGTGTCCAGTTTTGGGCGCCACATTTTAGGAAGGATGTTGACCAGCTCGCGCGTGTCCAGAAGAGGGCAACCAGGATGGTGAGAGGGTTGGAATCCAAGTCTTATGAGGAAAGGCTGAAAGAGTTGGGTCTGTTTAGCCTGGGAGAGAGAAGGCTTAGAGGGGACATGATGGCAGTCTTCAAGTATCTGAAGGGCTGTCATGTAGAAGATGGAGCGGATCTATTCTCTCTTGCTTCGGATTGCAAGACTAGATCCAATGGGTGGAAATGACAAGGGAGTCCTTACCGGCTAAATATCAGGAGAGACTTCCTGACTATAAGAGTGGTTAAGCAGTGGAACGGACTGCCTCGGGAGGTGGTGGATGCTCCTTGGCTGGACGTTTTCAAGCGGAGGCTGGACGACCATCTTTTGGGTGTGTCGTAGGGTCCTATTTCGGCTGTGCTCCTGCAGAGTGCAGGGGGTTGGACTGGATGACCTGCAAGGTCCCTTCCAACTCTAACATTCTATGATTCCATGATTTACTGGTGTGCTGGGGCAGATTTCCAAGCAGCCGTTCTGAATGTTTGCAGCTAAGAATTTGCCTGTATGGGCTTATCTGGAGAGTCAGCTTGGCGTAGCAGTGGAGAGCGGCAGTCTCTAATCCAGAGAACCAGGTCCGATTCCTCACTATTCCCCCCCCGTGAAGCCTGCTGGGTGACCTTGGGCCAGTCACAAGTTCTCTCAGAGTTCTCTCAGCCCCACCTGCCTCATGAGGTCCCTGTTGCGGGGAGAGGAAGGGAAGGTGATTGTAAGCCGCTTTGAGACTCCGTCGGGTAGAGAACAGCAGGGTCTATAAAAGCTAGTCTCTTTCTGCTCCTGCTTCGGTTTTCCTTTGCTAAAGTCTTATCAGAGGGCCCCGTCATCTTTTGCTGCCTTTCCTCGCACAAAGGGGGCTGAGGCCTCCACTTGAGCTGCTCCCTGCTGGGAGGATGTTTTTTTTCCTCCCTGTCGATCCTCAGCCCTTACCAAACAAGGGAGCTTAACCATTGCTAATGATCTAGAACAGGGGTGTCAGACATGCTGCCCGGGGGCCGGATCAGGCTCCCAGAAGGATTCTATCAGGCCCGCAGTGGAACTGGCTGTCTTCTGCTGCTTCTTCCAGTTCTGCTGCTGCTGCGTCATCGTAGGTTTGCAGCTTACAGATACAGACCTGAACGGTACACTCAAGATTGCAGCAGCACAGACATTTTGATGCAATAATTCAGAGCAAGAGGTGTCCGTTATCAGTCACTGCTAAATAAACAAAATATTGCAAGAGTGCTGATGTTTTAACCATGTTTTTATTCTAAGGGGGGGGGGAAGCCCTTTGTGTTTGTGTCCTTTACAAAGTGTGTATCTCCGCTACCTAGTGTTACATTTCATGACACACGTGGCCGGGCCCGACAAGGCCTCTCATTTATGCCAGACCAGGCCCTCATAAGAAATGAGTTCGACACCCCTGCCATAGGGTTTTTAAAGCAAGAGCCATCGAAGGAATTAAGGCCCACCAAGACGAGAGCAAATAATTACAAAACCCCTTAAAGTGGGGGGTAAAGCCCCCTAGTTACATGATCCACAAGAAGGATATATATATACAGGGGTCATTTCGTAGGCACCCCTGTATGTATATATATATTTAAACCCCCTTATCTGTTTGCATGTATAACCGCCTCCACTGTCGCTCGTTCCTAGCTGAGAGATGAAAAGTTGCAGGAGGAGAGAACCCCAGAGGATTTTATCCACAAGCTGATTTTTGAGGACGCCGAAGTGGGGAGGAGAAAAACAGAAGATCCAAAGAAGGAGGAGCCTTCAGGAGTGAAGATGACACAGGAGCATGTGAGTGACTCATGGCTGCGCTGTGCGCGTTTTGGCCAAGGAAGTGTTTATGTTTGTGTGTGTGGGTGTGGTTTCTCCTCCCTCCAGAATGCATTCTTGCCTCAGTTCAAATCATTAGGGGATGCAGGAGAAAGAGTTGCTTTAAAGAGGTGGTAATAGTCTTGTTGGACATGGTAAGATCTGTGCAGATCCTACCTACGAGGCTGCCTTTCCCCCCTGTGAGCACCGGAGGGCACCGAGGCCCTGGCCCCCGCCTGGTGGAATGAGCTGCCGTGTGAGATCAGGGCCCTGAGGGACTTATCGCAGTTCCACAGGGTCTGCAAGACGGAGCTCTTCCACCGGGCATCTGGTTGAGGCAACGGATGTCTCCTCTCCCCCCCCCCAAGCTTCCATCACTGGCCTGATTTAATTAGTCATCTGATTGTTGTATGGTTACATGGCATTTTATGACAATCAAGTGTAAACTGTTATTTTAATTATTTTAAGTGTGTTATTCAATTATTGTTCACCACCCTGAAGCCCACTTGGGAAAGGCAGTATATAAATCTAATAAAATGCATACATAAATGAATAAAATAAATGAGACTGTCTGATCCAAGGCATATCCGACCGCAGTGCCTGTTCAGCACTGCTCTGGCCACGGGTACGGGAATCTTCTGGGGTGAGACAGGTACTGCGTCTCCACTGGGACAGGCCTGATCTTGTATTAGAAAGCCAGCTTCGTGGGCCAGTCCAGCACACAATAAGGGCCGTGGCTCAGGGGCGGAGCATCTGCATGGCGTGCAGAAGTTCCCAGGTTCAGTCCCCGGCATCTCCAGTTAAAAGGACCAGGAAGGAGGTGATGTGAAAGATCTCCGCCTGAGACCCTGGAGAGCCATGGAGAGGGGCCGTGGCTCAGGGGCGGAGCGTCTGCATGGCATGCAGGAGGTCCCAGGTTCAATCCCTGGCATTTCCAGTTAAAAGGACCAGGAAGGAGGTGATGTGAAAGACCTCCGCCTGAGACCCTAGAGAGCCATGGAGAGCAGTTGTGGCTCAGTGGCAGAGCCTCTGCTTGGCATGCAGGAGGTCCCAGGTTCAATCCCCGGCATCTCCAGTTAAAAGGACCAGGCAGGAGGTGATGGGAAAGACCTCAGTGGCAGAGTCTCTGCTTGGCATGCAGAAGGTCACAGGTCCAATCCCCGGCATCTCCAGCTAAAAGGACCAGGCAGGGGGTGATGGGAAAGACCTCCGCCTGACCCTGGAGAGCCATGGGGAGAGGCTGTGGCTCAGTGGCAGAGCATCTGCTTGGCATGCAGGCGGTCTCAGGTTCAATCCCCGGCATCTCCATTTGAACCGACCAGGTTGTAGGTGATGTGCTAGACCTGAGTCCCTGGAGAACTGCTGCCGGTCTGAGCGGACAATATTGACCTCAACGGATTAATGTTCTGATTCAGTACGGGGCAGCTTCATGTGTTCAGTAAAGCCTTTCATCCATTTGGATGAAGGCGAAGGGGAAAGCTAAGGGGACTGCAACAAGATTCCTAATCCCAGTCCTGTTCTAACTAGGGATTGGGAATCCTGTTTTAGTTAGACCGTTGTCAACATGCTTGAAGGACAACAGGCTAGGTAAAGGGGACGGTGGGGAAAGAACCCAGATTGGCCCTGAATGCACTCAGATGTCAGTGCTTTCAGAGGAACGTGGACCATGATCGTTTCTGGAAAAACCCAAGGAACAGCCTTAAATTCTAGACCAGGGGTGTCAAACATGCCGACCGGGGGCCGGATCAGGCCCCCGGAGGGCTCCCCACCAGGCCCGCAGTGGAACTGGCCCTCTCCTGCTTCCAGTTCTGCTGCTGCTGCTGCATCATTGCTTGCTTCGCCAGACTCTCTTAATCACTCAGCTGTTTCATGTTTTAACCTGGGTCCTAGACTCTGAGCGCATGAGATTTCTGCAGTGAATGGCAATAAATCAAGAGTAGGTTTGCAGCCTACAGATAACACACCTGAACGGCACACTCAGGATTGCAACAGCACAGACATTTTGATGGAATAATTCAGAGCAAGAGAGGTGTCAGTTATCAGACACTGTTAAATAAACAAAATATTGAGGAGTGCTAATATTTTAAGCTTGTTTTTTATTTTAAGTTTTTTTTAAAAAAAACCCATTTGTGTTTGTATCCTTTATAAAGTTTATATCTCCGCTACCTGGCATCACATTTTATGACATGCCCGGCCCGGCCCGACAAGGTCTCATTTATGTCAGATCCTGCCCTCGTAACAAATGAGTTCGACACCCCTGTTCTAGACTCTTAGTCCCACGTGCATTTTCCTTGGAAATAAGCCCCATCCGTTTCATTAGGATATGCTTTCAAATGTGTGTGTTTCTAGAGTCTCAGTACCTGGATGCGTCTGCACAATCCCTTATTGGGCAGAGTTTAGGAACAGAGGAGGAGGAGAAGGTTCCCGTAACCCTCAGATGAAATAAGGATCTGAGTGGGATGATCTTTAATCAGTTTGGTGTCATGGTTAAGAGCACAGACTCTAATCCGGGAGAACCGGGTTTGATTCCCCCACTCCTCCACATGCAGCTGCTGGTGTGACCTTGGGTCAATCACAAGTTCTCTCAGGAGCAGTTCTCTCAGGAGCAGTTCTCTCAGAGCTCTCTCAGCCCCACCGACCTCCCAGGGTGTCTGTTGTGGGGAGGGGAAGGAGTTTGTAAGCCGCTCTGAGACTCCGAGTGAAGGGCGGGGGGTGTAA